AATCCAAAAATGGAAACCCAATATGAGAGGTACCTCCCGATATTGTGTTCTAGAGCCATGTCTCGAGCAGGCTGGAGAAGAAAGCGAGCAAAGTCGAGACAAGGATTGCAGAGGTATTAACCAAGTCCCATTTGAAGAGCACAACTCCAGGTGGGTTAAGTCATGGCATTAGAGACAATAAGAAGAAGACAGTAAACGACGTCTTCTTCCACAACAATCTTCATGCAGTGAAAAGTGTATTATTTTAAGAGACATGTATTGCTTAAGCCTCAATTAAAGTAAAGAGAGAGAGAGATTCCTACGCTAGGCCAGTCCAAATATATTGTTGTTGAAAATTAGATCAGAGGATTTTTTTGATGGCACTTGTATAATCCAAGCAAGAGCAACCAATGCAGAAAACAAATTTAATTCTAGATCGGTTACCCTCGCGATGGCCACACCTAGGGATACTAGGGCTAATGCCACAATTTGTGAAAGAACAAACTCTAAAAAAGGTTAAAAAAAAACTTTTTAATGAGAATTTTTAATTGATCAGATGAAATTTCACAAAAAAAACAAGCACAACTTTGTGGAAGAAATGATTTTTTTAAAAAAAGAACAAACTCTGCAAGGGCATATGCTGGTGTCAGTGATCTTAGCCATTTGATAGAATCCAACTGGACAAAAACAAAAGCAATCAAGTGTGGGATAAGAATATAAAACAGAGTTTCAATATCTGAACTTTGATCTACACAGTTTGATTAATGCTATCAAAGGTCAATTTACAGCTTGAGCTATGAATCTTGATGCAATCATTACAGATTGAGCTATGAACCTGTTGTGTTTGAGGCTGGTATTAGCGAGACCAGAAGCAAAGGTCATGACAGCTTTAAAAGAGAGGAGAGATGAGTACGGTGTTGTCTTTGATGTAGGAGACATTGGAAGTAATTAGAGAGACTTTAAGAAAACTAGAAGTATCCAAGCAACATAATGTGAATCAATCATTTTTCATAAAAGTATTTTGGATACTTTGGTGGATCCCATATTTATTTCGTGATTTTGAGATAGTATAGTTGAGAACTGTGACATGGAAGGACTCTCTTTTTAGATTCCCTGTAGGATATTTCAGAAAGACCATTTTTATAAAAGCCAATTTAGGGGAGGGGGGAGAGGGTTATTTGGAGTTGGATTTATAAAGATTTTGGTTGATTTTAAAAGTCATGAAATTTGTCAAATCTTCAAGAGTTTTGTTGGATTTGTAAAAGTCGCCAAGAATTTTGTAGATTTAACAATAGATTTGATATGACAGACTTTGAGAATCCAATGGATATAAGTAGTATTTTGAAAATCATGATTTATGAGTTAAATTAAAAAGAATTATTATCCCAATAACACTATATTATAGCAGAATCATAGAATCATTAAAATACAAACTTTTTAAATAACAATGGATTTTGATTAGATTATAGTAATCATCCACTACAAGAAAGATCGGGTTTTACGTCGGCAGATATCGACGTAAAATCGACGTAAAAGAGCATTTACGTCGAATTAGCGACGAATGAAAAATCGTTGTAAAACAATCGTCCTAAAATGGAATTCGTCGTAAAATCGTCGTAATATTACCAACTCAGGGAAATCACCGTAATATCGTCGGAAACTATTCGTCGTAAAGTCGACGTAAATTTTCCAACGAAAGTACAACGAAATCCGTCCATCATAACAACGACGTAAAATCAATGTAAAATTACATCGATTTAACAACGATTAGGAGACGACCTATTTCAATTAAGGGAAATTAAATTTTTAATTATCGATGTTAATTCGTCGTAAATAATCGACGTAGATTCGACGTAAACATATTCGACGTAAATTCGTCGTAACACTTTTGACGGTAGTTCGACGTAAAGTTACGACGAATTTACGTCGATTTATAAATTAATTATTTAAATTTAATTAATGCATTTTTAAAATAATCAATTAATTGAAAATAGAAAAAAACATTTTAAATTAAAATTTAAATTCGAAAATAATTTCTATAAAAAAAATTAAATACAACTTGTTTTTTACAAAAAAAAACCTAATCTACAATGTGATTTCATAATCGTCGAGGTTGAGATCGACATCTCGAAGAGGCTCTCCGTCTTGGCCGTCCGTCGCTGCTGGACCGTCGTTTCCCGTCTGCACAACCGGAGCCAAAGTCTGACCCTGCGTCTGCTCACCGGAAGTACCACCGGCCTCAAAGATCCCTCGTGCTCGCCGTTGCCTCTCTCGGATTGCGGTGGCCAACTGCGGAACCGCTTCCGCAATGATGTCGAAGAGGCCGTGCATCTCGGTGAGCTCCTGCTTCTGGGCCACTTACTCATGCCTGAGAGTGGTGATCTCAGCATTGGCCGTAGCAAGCTCCTGGCGAAGATAACTTGGATCCTCCTGTGTGCGGAATCCGGAAGCCAAGGTGGCGGGACAGTCTCTAATAGAGCCCATCCCTAAGGTGCGGCCCTTCTTCTTCGGAGCGACCTACAAATGAAAATAAAAAACGTTGATTGGATCATATATATACGTACAGATAATTAAGTACTAAATATAATAAATTTTAAAAATTTTGAAATCGATCATACCTCCTCGAAGATCTGGTCTTGCTCAGCGACGGTCAACGGTACTTGGATAGTACCGTCAGGTGTGACCTGGGTTTCCCGCTCGGCGATCCGCTGAATAGCGGCATTGTAGATCTCCTCTGACCGAGCATCTACAAAGGTCCCGTCCCTCTTCCGGTGAGTGGTCTCGAAGAGCTTCGTCATTGGAGGAAGTTCTCCTCCGTTCTCCTCGGCCTACTAAATAATATTATTCAATTAAACATTAGTAAAAATATATTTAAAAATATCTTACGTAAATAAAAAATAATTGAAAAATAGAAATAATTAAATAATTAAGATTACTTACCATCAGTAGACGTCTTCCCGCAAATGATATTTGGCCAGAAGTGTGCGGGGTCACTAACTTCTGACCGTCAGGACCGACCCGGTTTCGAACGGCTGAACACTTAGCAGCAGTGGTTTGGGCATGCGGGTCCAGCCAATATGCCTTCAACCCGTTCCAGCAGGAAGTGGACATCGGGCTCGGCTTTGCGTCGTCGCCGTTGGTCTCCCACTTCCGCTTCCAATCGGAAACGGTGGAGACTGCTCCGCCGCAGTATTCGGAACCTGGGAGGCTCCGGAATATGACGGGATATCGGTATTTCCCGAGGCAAATACCCGGGAAGAGTGTCCGTCCGTCATGAAGTTGATGTAGTGCGTCTTCCGTCGAGTCATCGTCTGCAAAACGGAAAAAATTAATAATAAATCTAACAAATTCCGAGCCTAAACTAATTCCGATCCTAAATCTAACAAATTCCGAGCCTAAACTAATTCCAGACCTAATCCGTTTGAATTTCTAAATTAATTTAGAATAATTAAATATTAAATAATTAAAAAAAAAAATTACCTTAATTTAGGAGGAAGGCGAGAGAGGTAGAAGATGAATGAGCGACGAAGTGAGGAGGGGTGCGTCCATATATATAGAATTTATATTCGTCGTAACTTCGACGTAATTTTACGTCGAATTTACGACGGAATCGTCGTAAATTCGTCGCAGAGGTCCCACCGAGCCAAAAACCGAATAAGACAAACATGATTTTTTATTATTAAATATTTTTAATCAGGGATAACATATATTGAATAATAGTTTTTATATATAATTAAAAAACTATGTTGTAGTCTATATAATATATTTTTAATGCATTATTGTTTTCAAATTTAGATCTACAATTTTAATAAGTGATTTTGTACTTGCTTAGGAGAAATATAAGAACCGACAAGAAAGAAAAACAATTCTGGCGAAACGGGAAGAGAGTTCCGACAATGAAGAGAGATGGTGTTTGTAATTATAATGTTTGAGACAACAAACATTATTTATTAAATTATCGAGCAATATGAATTTTATTTGTCGATGATACGAACATATGAGAAACACTGCGTACAATTATATGTAGATGAAGATATAGATTGAGTGTGTGTAAAAAAATTTCATATAAGCAATAAATTTTGTTGTTGCTGATAAACATGAAGCATTTTTGGTGTCTTATTAATAATGTTGCCATAAAACATTTCATTTCAAAATAATAAGTTTATTTTGAGAGAAATGAGTAATCGAAACTCTAGATACTTTTTATGTTATCGTATAATATATTTGATTTTTAGCGAATGAATTAACTGACTTCAAAATCGAAATAAAATTTGATGAGAATAATAATTTAAAAAAACTTATTGGTCTATTTGGATAATAACTACTGAAAAATCTAATTAAAAAAAATAATAATCAGAATAAGAAGTCGAAGAAAAAAACTAATACATAATAGATGAAGTGGAAGATAATGATATTTCTGATCAGGATTTTCTTCTTGATGTGCTACATAATGGATTATTCGTGCCATTAATAAATATAAATATTTTTTAGTTATGAAGATAATGATATTTCTGATTAAGATCTTCTTCTCGATGTACCGTCCAATGGATCATTCCCTCAAACAGAACTTCTTGATATGACATGAAAGAAGTGAAAATTTCTTAAAATTATATATATCAATATTTGATTTCTATAAATTTTGTAATTAGTTTTGTATACCTCGCATAGCATGGATCCCCACAGGATAGTTTTAAAGTATTTTTATTAATTTTTAAACGTATAATTCTAAAACGACTATCCTGTACTTTTGCCATACTCGTTTTGAGTGAAATGAATAGTTTCGAAATGAAAAATTATATGAAATCGGGAATGGGACGTGGGGTCGAGTATGGGTCGGGACGAGTTTAATGAACTGGCCTAATCCAAACTTAAATGGTTGAGTATCTCATAATCAGCTCCCTCAGTACGATTTAAACAAGTGAGGAAATAAAAGAAAAACTTCTTTTAACTTTAAAAATGCTTGCATTTCCCGCACATTATAATTTCCAATTATTCAATTTTTGAACCCTAGAATTCGAAATTTTCCCCAAATCCTCTATACCCATGGCGTCGGAAAAGCCTGAAGATCCGATGAACATCTCCGCCGGAACAGACGAGGAGACTATAGCTCAGCGGAGAAAGCGGCTCCGGCGAGTAAGCTTCGCCGACCGAGAGATTACCTCCGTCCACATTTTCAAGCGGGACGAAGATTACGAGACGCCGCCCAACTCCTCCGCCTCGAAGCCGCAAAACGGTGAACAAGCTGATACGTCAGAGTCTGAGGACAAAGTGATTAGGTTTTTCGGCGAATTAGCTGACAGCGAAGACACTGGAGGAGACGGCGATGCTGAAGAAGACGAAGCTGTGGTGGAGAAATTTTTGAGGCCCAAAAATTCGCCATCTTCAGGTGGTAGCACTATTGGTTCCGCTAGGAGTGATGACGGTACGTTTCAATTTTCTTCTCGATGGATTTTTTGCATTTGCTTCAATTTGAATCCTGAAATTGAAAATCGAGAAATGAGAGAAGAGAGAGTTTTTGTGCTTAACACACTTCCGCGATTAGGTTTCTTGATGGAATTTTGTGCTGAAGCAGTTTATATTTTGTAATCAGAGGATAATTTCTTCGGACCTGTGTCTTCCCATTTCATCAACCCTGGAAGATTGTCAGACGCTACAATCTCCGAAGAGCACCATGACATTACGATGGACTCCACGGCCTTTTCAATGCATTTCCGGAGTCTTGCGATGTCGGAGTCTGGAGACGTAAGGACCCCTACGAGCAGCCAAGTTCCAGTGGAAGAGAAAACACCAACTCAGGTTACCTCCAGATCTGATACAGGAAGTGCAATGGTGTTAACATACCCTAAGAAGCTATTCCCAAAATCTCCTTTACCAGTTGACAAAGGAAGCGGTGGTGGAGACTCGAATGACATGAGTCTCGTAGGTGAAGATTCTCGAAAATACGATTACGGGCATATAACTCCTGCATTAGCCGCTCTACTTGGTGATGAAAGCGATGAATTGCTTCCTGCATCTTCTAACACGCCCGTCCATGATTTTTCCTTGCCCCCTCAAAATGGATGCATTCCCATGGGTCAATCTTGTAAAGAATCAGGAATATTGCTGCATGAATCAGGAAGCCAACGTTATACAAACGAGGCTTTCAGTTCCTCGTCAACTAATAGAAGGAGGTCTATATTGCCCCAGTCCTTTTCTTGTGTTACTCCTTCACCTCCTAAACATGGTGGAAGCTTTATGAGCAGGGAAACTCTTGCACTAGTTGAGAGCTTGTCAACCATCCAGAAAAGCAAATCCAGACTTGGACTGATTCCACCATCACCTGCTTCTGCTCTTTCTCAAAGAATTGAAAAATCAATGCTTCAGTTGTCAGGACACCGTTCCATGACTACCCCATTGACTACTGGCAGGGAAGAAGTAGGTGTCCGAAAGCATACAGATATCCCCATTACTAACTTGGAGGATTTGCTATCTAAAGATGATGACAGAACACCAGTTTCTGAAAAGAAAGGCATACCAGATCAGCGCAGTTGTGGTGCATTGAGCCCTGCTGTTGACAGTAGCAATTTATTTGCATGCATAAGTCCTGAAGGAAACACTAATTCTGGCATAGAGGGTTCACTCTTAAGACAACAGGAAAGAAATCAGATAGCCAGCACCCCTGAGAAGTTTGTGTCACCTATAGCAAAATCGCCAAATGCGAAGACGTCAGCATTGATGAATGTTGTTACCCTTCATGATCAAGAGCAGCACAGTAAAGCCATCGGGAATTCTGAGACTGGGGAGGGACACGCGACCAAGGATTGTGCTAGTAATTGTTCTCCGTATACGTTATCTGACAAAGTGGATTCACTGCTTAGAGAATCTTGCGTATTACTTAGCGAGACAGGCTTCTTGAATGGCTCTGCTCAACAAAAAGAGAAAGACAGCGTGCTGACCAAAAATCAAGACGGAACCAACAACATCAGTGCTGCCCGTTGTGAAAGTGAAGTTATCTTAACTGGAAACTTCCCTGCAGTAGTGGCAGAAGACCTTCCTAATACATCTGGCTCTTCATCTATGGACAGAAGTAAGGATGACGCTTCACATGCTAAGGTATAATTCTAGACCCATGAACATTTTTTGAAGAACTAAATGCCCACAGGGTAAATTGATTACATAATCCATTTCTGAACTCTGAAGTGAATAGATCTTGTTTATCTCTAAGATTATTGTAAAGAAAATACTGAGCAGTGCATTTCTTAAAGAAAATATTCAGATTGTTCGGAGAAGAATCTCAGAAGATCTAATGGTACAATTTAATGCTGAGATAAATTTCTGAATGATAATTTGCAGGGGCCATCCAGATTGAAAAGGAAAGCCAAAGATGTTGATCGTGCTGCTAGAAGTGGTAGCCCCAAAGTCAGGAAAAGCACAGTGTATATTTCAAATCCAGTGATGGACCACCCTGATGGCAACTATGATGCTAACGACTGCCGCGTAATTCCTAAACAAGTAATAAACTGGGTAGAGGTAAGTACTGTTGATGATCTGGTAATTGGTAGAATATTGAATGTTACTCTCACCTTGTTCATATACTGTTTCCACTGCCTCAGATACCAGGAAAAGTTTCAGTAGAAATCAATCAAATGCTTGCTCCATTGTCGGATAAACTGAACTCAAGACAAGTATGTTATTTCTCTCTTTGGAAACCCAATCTGGTTACTGAGATTGTTCTCCTTTTGGCTTTTGTAGTTTAAGAACTAATGTTCCAAAAGTGCAGATATGCAAGCTGGAAGATATATTAACGCACTTGAAGAAGGTTCATTTGTGTGAGATGCTTTGTCTTCAAATTAAATCTCAGGTCCGGCTAAAAGAAAAGTTTCTGCTATCATTTCTCCTACATATATGTAAACTGATGATTTTGTCCTAATTGTAGAAAGTATGCGACGACTTGAGTGGTGCTAAGACAAAGAGGTTCTCCCTCTTCTGCCTTTCTATATTCTTCAGGGTAAATTACTACCAAGTGTATAACATTAACTGTGTATACTATTGCAGACGTGCTGAGAGTAGATCATCACTCTGCAAGTTAGCATATGAAAAAGCCAAACTTGAGTTGCTGCAACTCAAGCAAGAGATAATGATGGTAATTACTTTGTTCCTCGTTTTCAAACTTCCTATTGATCCTGCTTGCTTGATCAAATTTCACTCTTATGGCATCCAGAAAAAGTTTCAAGCAGTGAGCACTGGTGTACAAACATCTGAAATATTGAAGTTGAATTGTGCCAAGCTTTTACATCAACATGATCTCCATTCTACTGGCTTGTTTAATCCTGAGAAAGCTCATGAGGTAACTCGGCCAGTTTGATATACCCAATTTACGAGAATATGAAGGTTTGTCTGGGCTTAACTCTCTCACAGACTTAGAATGGTTTTTGGTAGACCTGGAACTTGTTTCAGAGTGTTGAGTTTTCCACGTTACTGGTAGAAAATTCGTATTTGTTTATTTTTGTAGATAAGAGATGTATGCTATTATTTCTTCTATTTTTACTTACACTTATGCTATTTCCGTATCTTTTGAGCAGTTGTGTCATTTTCTTAATCCAAGTATTTAATAAACTTGCTATCTATCAACATTTATATAGGATACTAATAGTAAAGGAGCAGAGATAACGGAGGAGATCGAAGTATTGGACTCAAAAATCAAGAACTTGATCAAATGTTTTCCTACATGCGACAAGATGGCAGGAGAACCTGCATATGCAGATACTATTACGATTGCTGAAGATAAATTGAAAAAGAAAATGAATTGCAGATTTATACGTCAAGAAATTCTGGTATCTACCGTCTTATTTCAATAGACATGGAGATCTTAAACAAAGTGTTTTCTTTTCTACTTGAATCACTCTTCTGCTGTTGGCAGGCCTGGAAAGTTGAAAGTTTGGGCGAAAAAAATGATTGTCAGAGCATTGTTCTAAACTATCGTGGCTTGATCAACCAAAGGTTGGTCCTGTTGGTTTTATCTTTTCATAACTTTTAAAAGGAATCTGTTTCCTACATTAGGCTACATATACATGAGCGCTATTAGATTCTACTGAAAATTTTTTTTGGATATACAGGCTCACATTAAAGCCTGGACATGCTTCATGTGTAATGATTTCAAACAGTTTGAGTGATGCATTCACTAAGGTAATAAGGGTAATTAATCTGTTTTTCTTTCTTCCATACATAATCTTCCTTTTCGTTTCTAATCAAGGTATTGTTCTTCAGCATTTCCCGGACATGAATGTTTCAGTTGCGTTTAACTCCTTGTTTAACGCTGAATACCCCCCGAAGTATGTTGGTTCCAATACATTGTTGGAGATTACACAGGTGGGTGTCTATCTCAGTTAGCTCTTTTTATCGCAATGGTTCTCTTTATACTCGCATAGCATATTAGATATTTTTCTATCTTTGTCAGTTCCTTTAGAAGAATCGCTTTCAATGGAATTTGTTTTTGTGTCATAGACTTTTGAAACTTGGCTCATTTTACTCTGAGAGTGCAGAAAACCAGTCTGGTCTTACATAATATGCTAGATGTAGCTGAGGAATTACAGTTAGCTCGAATGGAGATACCAAATTTGGTCCAAGGAAAATTCGATTCTCCGTCAGGTGATCGATTTTACTCCACTCACTTCCCTTTTTTGGCCAATACTTTCTTTTAATGACTAAGTTCTGTCTGAGATAAGAACACTAGTGGTGTTATTCATTGCAGCGGAGCAGCTCCATTTGCAGATTACCTTCATTGATTGCAAAAACTTAAGAAAAATAATCATGATTCTCGATATGGCATGTTTGATTCAGTAAGTATATTATTATCATGTTTTGTGCATAAAGAAAACCTTTTCAAGACTTCGGATGATGAAACTGTGTGTTTGGTCTCTGTTGTAACCAGTGGGAAGTATCCTGGTGACATAATTCCTTGCGAGTTAATCTCAGGCACAAATAGAGATGGTGCTGCGTCGAAACAACTGATGAATGAGATAGAATCTGCAATGGATGGTGTTGGAGTCGGATCTCCTCGGATATTGAAACTCTGTCGTTGCGTTTCCAAATTGTTGCAATCACAAAGCAGGAGATGATTGATGTCTAATTTCGTAACACTTCACGTTATATGCCGGTTTGTTTTGTAAATATGGCACAAGGACTACTATTACTATTACTGTTACCGCTACTAGAGAATAGTAAATCCGGTACGGTTCAGGTGCAAACCCGGTTAGTTGGGTTTTAAATCGCTAGATCGGAGTATTTCATGTCAAGGCTAAACCATTAACGATGCAAAATGCTTACATCTTCAAATCTTTTGTACAGTATAATGCAACAACCTTACCACAAGTCTAAAACAACACAGTAAATCTTCTGGTTAGGCAACATTGTCTGGCAACAACCTTATAATGTTCAAGCTAGGCCTAGAAATTTGGATTAACTGAACTTGTTTCGATTTCTAGGGTAATTCCACCAAAATCAACGAACCCGACTATTCTTAGCTGTGGCCTTGATAACTTGTTCCACTTGGTCACTTAGAAGCTCCAAGTTACCGATTAAATACACTCGTTTCACTTAGACTTCATCTTTTCCAGCATCAAATCCATCAGAGACTGAACCTCTTCAGGTTGTCTT